AAAATTCTTATAATTCACAGTGGAAAGTAAGCTATTTTATTTTTGTATGTTTTTGATGTAATTTTTTTTTTGTCATTTTTATTTTAGCTTTATTTATTTATTTATTTAGTTAGTTAGTACCGTTTCTTTAACACATCAGTATATCGTATATATTAGATTCATGCCATTTAAGTATGTGTAATAACTAAAGGTCTGTTTTGCATTGTAATGGAGACCAGGGATAGGTGTCATATTTTTTACTCTAATGCATAAATGGCTAATTTGATTTTGCATAGACACATAAGTCTTGGTTACAAAACACACACACACACACACACACGTTTGTTTCTGTGAGTTGTCGGGACTTTCCATAGATTTCTATTACTTTTATACTGACCAAACAATCCCCTATTTTCTATTTTTAATATTTTTTTTCCCCCTCGTGGGGACAGCAGGCTGGTCCCCACAATGTCAAAAATTTCAGGTTCTACTATCCTTGTGGGGACATTCAGTCCCCACAATGTAGCACACACACACACACACACACACACACAATGGGAACCTTCCAAATATGTGAATTTAAAAATGTAATTATTTATGAAAGATTAAACATGTAAAAGGCAATATGGGAACCTGACAAAAGGGAAAATGTAAAAAGTAAAATACAAAGAAAATATTGACCCATTATTTTTGAAAGGATATATGCAAAATAAACAATATATAATAAAAATAAATGTAATATTTAATTTTAACAAAAAAAAATAAAGTTTTAATTATACATATTTAATTAGAAACAGTAGAGCAGAATTATTCTGCTCAATAAAAAAACAGATACATAGTATCTAAAAAAGAATGTATATTACATACTACTACTACTACTACTAATACATTAACTTCCTACTATAATGTATTAACATTTGAATGTTATAATTGATAATATTATTGAAAGTCATTATGAAGTGTTTCTAATGCCAAAAAGTTTCTCTCCTTCAGGTTACGTGAGTGATTTGAAGGCTGTAAGCAGTGATATTGTGTGAGGCTGAAGAGGGCTGGCTGTTGACATCTACAGTAAGTGCAGTAGGGGTTGTTTCTGGCCCAGGGCTTACCTGAGGCTGAGGGCATGGCCATGGGGATGCAGGGTCTTCCCTGCCCCATGGCGGGGGCAGAGAGCAGCATTTTCGCTAAGGAGGCAGAGATGGGCTGAACCAGCAATGATGTCAGGTTGTGGCGACTGTCTCTTCCGGCTGTGAACAGAAAAAAAAGAAAAAACAACTGTAGTTCTTATTTTAGAAAGGCTTTTACACAGCTATATCAAAATGAAAACACTAATAACATCATTCCATCCTCAGAATTTCACCCTCAGCATGCCATATGCATTGATCATGACTTTGTGAGCTTTTAGAGCATGCCATGGGGCTCTTAACCCCACACATGAGCAAACCAAATACCCAATCAAAGAGCTTTTCTATTGGTTAACACCTCCGCTGAGTGTTCTCACACATCTCCATCTAGGAGGGCAGATGAACAGCATTAGTCCGTTACGTGCTGCATAAATATAGCTGCAGTGGGGCCAGGCAAAGATGCGTTTAGTGATGTGAGGTGAGCGAGAAGGGGCGGGCGAGGAGGTTTGTAATGTGCCGTAAATCAGACAGAAAAGAAAGGAGCGCTGAGAGGAACCTGCACAGCCAGGCAGGGACGTATCAAAGCCCTTCCTCGCTGCTGATTGCAGCTCACGGGCAGCAAACTAATAGGCCTGGAGATTTTACGTTGAAGAAACGGTTTCTAGCAGGCCAATGGGGATTTATATGGACGAAATGCTCCATTGATTCAGGCTCATTAAAACGGCGAAACGGTGAGCCTAATCCTGCTTTAGGAGCAAATTTATTTAGGAGCTTCAATTTTCCAGCAGCGCTTCCGCACCGGTGGGATGGGGTACAGTCATCCACGAATAATAATCAGTAGACCTTTCTGTTACACAACACTCTATTACCTTCCACAGATAAATGTATTCACCGGCTGCAATTATTTTACAGCAGTTATGCGGGAATGAACGCAGAGGAAGGTCCTCTCAAAATCAGCTTAATATTTTCTTGGTCATATGGGAATACAGGAAGTGATTATTAGGTTTTGAGTGGGGCTTTTGAAGTAACACTGTACTGTAAGTGCAATTATCTGTCCAAAGGTCACAGGGGTCAAAGCTGTGTTTAGAGAGAGGAGATTATCTCAACTCATTATCTTTAACCTTCTAAATGTGATTTAATGTTAATGAATTTGTTCATAAATATGATGAAATATATTAAATATAAAAATCTATCTATCTTTTTCTAAATATCTATCCATCCATCCTGTCGATTTTAAACCCAGAAGATGAACATAATGCAAAAAAACCTCAAAATTAAGTGGTTTTCACCTACAAATAAAATTAAAGCTTGCTAACATTGTCTTCTGTGATGCGCAACCAGGGTTGCCAGGTTTTCGCAACAAAACCCGCCAAATTGCTACTCAAAACTAGCCCAGTTGTGTTTCGAGGAGGTTCCCCAGTAAAAATCGCGTTCCAGAGGGTAAAATACACGTTTTTCGGCAGGGTTCCCCTGGTAAAATTTGCATCCCAGAGGCTAAATATCACATTATTGGGGTTGCTTCAACCCGCGGCAACAGTGTTAAAGTAGTCCAATTGGCAACACTGTGCGCAACTCAAACACCTCTAATAAAATCTCAGAAAATGTAGTTTAGTGTTTCTTAATTCAAATCAAATAGTGGTGCATATCCAGACACACTTGAACCCGATAGAAGCTGCAGAGTGAACTGAATAAAATGGAGGTTTTGAGAGACATAAAGTGAGAACATTTTGTAGTTTAATACTTTAGGGACATGTCTAGGGCACTCATTGATGTACCTTCTACATTTTTTTTTACCAGCCTAAAAGAGTACTTTCATTCGTCTTGATAAATAAAACACAAACAAGGTTATGGTCAATAGCTTTCATCCTTTCCTGTAAGTTCTATCTGCAGCACAGCTAAAAATGAACACAAACAAGTTTAAAAGTACAAGATGCCCTCAAAACCCATTAGGTTGTGCTCCAGCTGGAGATATTACAGCTTTGTAAATAAAGTAGGCCTGACCTTGATGAACTCAAAGAGTGTGTGCACTCAGTCTGTAGATACCGCACAAAGGAGAGAAGGCTACTATAGTAGAGTCCGTACCACTGGGGTGCATGAGAGGAACGTTTAATACTACACGTCAACTAACATGTTGGTCTCTCAGTAAGAATGATTCATGATGCCAGTGAAATACGCACAAGATCTCCTCTCCATCTCCAGAGGACAGATGTGGGCTGCATGCAGAAGTTATGAGGGGCCATGTATCTTTTTCATTTTCCTGTGGTGGTGACACCCATTTGTTTTAGTCTGTCTAGCAGAGGGCCTCATTATTTGTATATTCTTCTATACTTTATTCTATTCTAGTTTGGAATGAACCTAAGGCTGATAAAAACACAACATTTGCTCACCAATGGATCCTTTACAGTGAATGGGTGCCGTCAGAATGAGTCCAAACAGATAAAAACATCACAATAATCCACAAGTAATCCACATGACTCCAGTACATCAGTTAATGTTGTATTTGTAATAAATCCATCATTAAAGGGGTCATATGATGTTGCTAAAAAGAACATTATTTTGTGTATTTGGTGTAATGAAATGTGTTT